CGTATGCTTTGGCGATTAACCAATCAGAATTCGACAAATTTATCTTAAGGGTAATACGTGATAATATTGATTACAACGAGATGCTTGTATAACCCTCTCAAGTTGTGTTCAAGACCTGTTCAATAAGACAATTACCTGCAGACTTAACATTTTAATAAACATCAGAGAGTTCACGCAGTGTGTTCGAAATCGAACTGTGTGTTGGATTTGTGCGGTATGTGCTTTTGCGTTTGTGAGGGAGAGTGGTCTTCCTTGAGAGATAGGAAGAAGCCTCGATTTTACAGACAAGACCACATAGACGGCCCGGTGCTGAACCACAAAAGTGTTATGGCAAAGTGCACGTTTGCACGGGAAAAACAGAAACAAACCACATTGTATTTCCTGCAAACATACTCCTGAATAGAATTGACAAGAACACTATTTATTTGTTCTCTCACGAATATAGTTCGTTCGGTTCTGAATTCGGTTTTTAGTCAACCTAAGTTAACACCGAGAACACAGTTGGTTTCTCTCCATTACACCAACACAAATGTACAGTTTAACTTTCTGGTGTAATCCACAATAATGAGTTAAGCGGCAATACGCGAGTTCAAAATTTTGAGTGAATTATGGAGAAAGATGTACTTTTGTCTCAACAAGAATTTCTGGAGTAAAATCGGCTGTGTCAGTGAGAGGTGCTTACTGTGATTTCATAAATGTGTTCCTTCCTTAAACAAAAACCCATTGGCAACCCGGTATTAGTCAAATTGTCTCCCATAGATGAACCGGGATCCAATGAACATGGCTCCAATCTCAAATTTACTTTGATTATAACACGTTCCTTGACAATGTAATACCTCTGTTGATGTATTTCACCAAGGTAGCAAATGTCTAAAACTGGAACTACATCTCTCCAGAACTGCTCCCTTCTCTGAGCTCACACGTCATAAAACAACTGTAATACAGTCCAAAGTAGATACTCACAAATTATACTACTTATCAATGAACGAATAGTGATTTATGTTTGTTAACCGAACCTTGACAAGTAAATGTTATGTCCTAAGTGAATGAGTATGATTTTACCCCGTCTTTCAGCAGTTATTAGTCTAGCAATAAGGAACAGCGCTAGGGAGACCAACATTGCTCTCCGGACGATGTACCCATGTGGGGAATGGAACCCGAGTCATCAGTGTGACGACGGAACGCTGTAACCGCCAGGATACCCTACCACTCCAGGCAAGATCATCCACGATAATCACCAGGGTGTACTCTCACTATACCCTGGATGCATCCACGGTCTTGGCCCGATAATTATATTACCGCCTTTTGCTGGCTCCGCATTCTCACAGTAGCCAATCAGCGAAGCCGCCGTTACAACCGAGCTTGCCAGTGTCAACAAAGATAACGGCCGCAGTCGCGAAGGTTTGTTCGCAGTGCCACTCAGATTTTGGGGGAAATAATACAGACAAATCGACAGGTCTGAAACTTAACAAAAATATATGAAAGAACTTCTTCTACCTCTTTCAGAGTACCTGTGCATCAATTGTGTTGCCAAGTTTAAACGGTTAGATAATTTAAGAAGCGAAAGTGAGTTGTGATTGGTTCGCTCAACTTCCCAACGTAGACACCTGGTTGGATAAAAAGCCAGCAAAGGGAGGTAATAAAATAATCGGGCCAAGCCGTGGATGCATCCGGGGTATAGTGGAGAGTGATCGTAACGTATTCCCTGGAGATTATCGAAGATGGGTCAAGAGTTGAAACACGGTTTGCTTGCATAGTATGTTGCGCAGACCAACCTAACTATAACAGTGTCATAATGAAGGGTTCCTTATCATTACATACAGCATCAAATCTCCTTACAGCTACAGTTCGATATCTTATACACAGATGGTGTCTTGCAAGGTAACTGTGAAGGCACAAATGGTCCAAATACATCGTAAACAATTGTGACAAGTGTTTCTCGCAACATCCTAGAGGAAAATACGTCTTCCAAAACAAGCTATAGGGACATTGTGCGTATTATTCCTTTGTGTGGTCCATGCTTTAATTCTCCGCATGGCAAGGCAATACAAACCAACCAAACCAAACCAACCAAACAACCAGGCAAACGAATTACATGAGTGATAAACAACGAGGAGAGTTCTATGGATATACAATTCTTTAATATAATATATATCCATCGAATTCTCCTCGTTGGTCATCACACCAACGTCTAAATGCCACTCAAAGAAGTTACAAGAGTAATAAGTTTATTTTGCACAAGCCATAATTTAGGGTTACATTGATATTCTATTCCTGACCCTATTTAGAGTATATATCACTGCGCTACTTTCCCTACTTTTACAGTGTATACCATCGGGTAAAATCTATGTACTCATACATCTAAATTACATACATAGATATATTTGTATGGCGTTAAAGACAATTGCACCACACTTGGATACTACTGTCTCAATATTTCAAAATAGTGCATGATGGTTGCTTCAACATGACCATGTATTTCAAGTGTTTAGGTTCAGTCAATTCGCTTTCAAACAAGTTTGCCTGATACGAGGTACTATTTTTTGAATAATCCTTTGATAAACTTCCCAGCAACCGGTATAATAGCCGGAAGGACACTCCCAATGAGCGAAGGCAGCATCGATCCCAGCATTCCCATCACACCCGGTTTCTCCTCATTGACTTCTTTTCGCGCCTCCTCTCGAAAGTCTGGCTTTTCGGCCTCAAGTTTTTTCTCTGCTTCTCGCTCCTTTCTCTTTATTTCCAGCTCCAACTCTCTGTGTGATTTTTCCTTTTCTTTCTTCATTTCTTTCATTGCTATTTGCAGATCTTCCTTTTCCTTTGAAAGAGCAGCCATCTCATTTTCGGTTTTCTTCTTTGCATCTTCAACTTTCTCTCTCTCTAGTGTTTTTATTCTCTCTTCCAATTGCTTCCGCAAATCTTCGTGAGGGAGTTTGGTGTAACGACATATTGGACAATGTTTCAGCTTCATCACGGCACGGAAGAAAGTGAAACAGACATCGGAAGTGTTCCAATTTGGTGAAACCCACTTTGCATCAGAATCACCACATGTTTCTATGGTAAATGTACTAGTAACTGCTCTAACCTACCGGTGGTTTCAATTAGAAACCAAATATGACGAATCACAGAAACACTGTTAGAGCCTCTTGCGTGACAGTACTGATTCCTAAGGACGGAACACTGACATAAAAGTGAGATACTTTACATGAAAATCAACAGCAGGGCAACTGCCGGCTTGTTATAGCATGTACCATCAGTCACTGATCAGTTTAACACCGAGAACACAGTTGGTTTCTCTCCATTACACCAACACAAATGTACAGTTTAACTTTCTGGTGTAATCCACAATAATGAGTTAAGCGGCAATACGCGAGTTCAAAATTTTGAGTGAATTATGGAGAAAGATGTACTTTTGTCTCAACAAGAATTTCTGGAGTAAAATCGGCTGTGTCAGTGAGAGGTGCTTACTGTGATTTCATAAATGTGTTCCTTCCTTAAACAAAAACCCATTGGCAACCCGGTATTAGTCAAATTGTCTCCCATAGATGAACCGGGATCCAATGAACATGGCTCCAATCTCAAATTTACTTTGATTATAACACGTTCCTTGACAATGTAATACCTCTGTTGATGTATTTCACCAAGGTAGCAAATGTCTAAAACTGGAACTACATCTCTCCAGAACTGCTCCCTTCTCTGAGCTCACACGTCATAAAACAACTGTAATACAGTCCAAAGTAGATACTCACAAATTATACTACTTATCAATGAACGAATACTGATTTATGTTTGTTAACCGAACCTTGACAAGTAAATGTTATGTCCTAAGTGAATGAGTATGATTTTACCCCGTCTTTCAGCAGTTATTAGTCTAGCAATATGGAACAGCGCTAGGGAGACCAACATTGCTCTCCGGACGATGTACCCATGTGGGGAATGGAACCCGAGTCATCAGTGTGACGACGGAACGCTGTAACCGCCAGGATACCCTACCACTCCAGGCAAGATCATCCACGATAATCACCAGGGTGTACTCTCACTATACCCTGGATGCATCCACGGTCTTGGCCCGATAATTATATTACCGCCTTTTGCTGGCTCCGCATTCTCACAGTAGCCAATCAGCGAAGCCGCCGTTACAACCTAGCTTGCCAGTGTCAACAAAGACAACGGCCGCAGTCGCGAAGGTTTGTTCGCAGTGCCACTCAGATTTTAGGGGGAAATAATACAGACAAATCGACAGGTCTGAAACTTAACAAAAATATATGAAAGAACTTCTTCTACCTCTTTCAGAGTACCTGTGCATCAATTGTGTTGCCAAGTTTAAACGGTTAGATAATTTAAGAAGCGAAAGTGAGTTGTGATTGGTTCGCTCAACTTCCCAACGTAGACACCTGGTTGGATAAAAAGCCAGCAAAGGGAGGTAATAAAATAATCGGGCCAAGCCGTGGATGCATCCGGGGTATAGTGGAGAGTGATCGTAACGTATTCCCTGGAGATTATCGAAGATGGGTCAAGAGTTGAAACACGGTTTGCTTGCATAGTATGTTGCGCAGACCAACCTAACTATAACAGTGTCATAATGAAGGGTTCCTTATCATTACATACAGCATCAAATCTCCTTACAGCTACAGTTCGATATCTTATACACAGATGGTGTCTTGCAAGGTAACTGTGAAGGCACAAATGGTCCAAATACATCGTAAACAATTGTGACAAGTGTTTCTCGCAACATCCTAGAGGAAAATACGTCTTCCAAAACAAGCTATAGGGACATTGTGCGTATTATTCCTTTGTGTGGTCCATGCTTTAATTCTCCGCATGGCAAGGCAATACAAACCAACCAAACCAAACCAACCAAACAACCAGGCAAACGAACACATGAGTGATAAACAACGAGGAGAGTTCTATGGATATACAATTCTTTAATATAATATATATCCATCGAATTCTCCTCGTTGGTCATCACACCAACGTCTAAATGCCACTCAAAGAAGTTACAAGAGTAATAAGTTTATTTTGCACAAGCCATAATTTAGGGTTACATTGATATTCTATTCCTGACCCTATTTAGAGTATATATCACTGCGCTACTTTCCCTACTTTTACAGTGTATACCATCGGGTAAAATCTATGTACTCATACATCTAAATTACATACATAGATATATTTGTATGGCGTTAAAGACAATTGCACCACACTTGGATACTACTGTCTCAATATTTCAAAATAGTGCATGATGGTTGCTTCAACATGACCATGTATTTCAAGTGTTTAGGTTCAGTCAATTCGCTTTCAAACAAGTTTGCCTGATACGAGGTACTATTTTTTGAATAATCCTTTGATAAACTTCCCAGCAACCGGTATAATAGCCGGAAGGACACTCCCAATGAGCGAAGGCAGCATCGATCCCAGCATTCCCATCACACCCGGTTTCTCCTCATTGACTTCTTTTCGCGCCTCCTCTCGAAAGTCTGGCTTTTCGGCCTCAAGTTTTTTCTCTGCTTCTCGCTCCTTTCTCTTTATTTCCAGCTCCAACTCTCTGTGTGATTTTTCCTTTTCTTTCTTCATTTCTTTCATTGCTATTTGCAGATCTTCCTTTTCCTTTGAAAGAGCAGCCATCTCATTTTCGGTTTTCTTCTTTGCATCTTCAACTTTCTCTCTCTCTAGTGTTTTTATTCTCTCTTCCAATTGCTTCCGCAAATCTTCGTCGTCATCGTGCTTCATCTGAAGTTTAAGTTCGAACTCTCGCCTGATTGCATTTCTCTCTTCTTGGATCTTCTGATCATGTTTCTGTCTCAACTGTTTCTCCCTCATCTTCATGTTCTTCTCTGCCTCAACATACATTTCACTTGTGTAACACTTGCCTCCATTGTCAAGGAATACCCGATCAACCAGTGTAATGAAGTCTTTGACATCCTGTTCCTTCTCTGCATTACTGCCTCTGTTGTTGAAGGCGATGCATCTGTTGTTGCAAAACACGAGTAGATCTTGCAGTTCCTTTGGAACTTTCCTTAAATACTCCTGGAGTGTTTTATTGTCATTTTGTAGATCGTCCTTTCTTGTGAAGAGAACAATGAGATAGTTCAACATGTCATCTCCGAAGACCTGTCTGAAATGAGCAACCGTGTCCTGTTCCTCTTGGGTAAAACGGTCAATCCTGACAACGAGGACGAAGGCATGAGGACCTGGAGCTGTCATGCCGACACATTTCACCACCTCTTTGGTGATTTCAGCATTTGTCATACCTGTGTCGAACAAGCCAGGACTGTCGATTATTTGAACATCCCGATTAAATCTGAAAGCTTTCCCTCTCTGACACATTTTGGTAACAGATGATCCACATGCGCTTGATTCAAATATTTTTTTGCCTAGAATATTATTACCGGTAGCACTCTTCCCTGACCCTGTTCTTCCAAGAAACACTATTCTCCTTTCATTGTCTGGGCAGAGATCCGCGGACCAACCGTATGACCCCCCTGTAATGCAAAACAAACCTGTGATCAATGTAGTTCGAAAAGCTATACTGACGTACATTCACAGCATAGAGCCATGTTCTCAATGTGATTGAGAATACTGACTGCCTTGAACCTATTTATTATTCTCTTCCCACAGAGGTTACTTGTCTTATTTTCCTACGAACCTGTTCTAATACGGCTATGTTTCCCGGTTCTCGTTAAATCCCCCATCGGCCAAAAATCGCAACACGAATTACCTCCCTTCTTGCTATCCAATGAGAACACGTGATACATCGACTTATATCCAACGTGACTAATACAAGCAAATGCAGGGCCACAAATATCCATGGGGACATGTGTTGATGTGACACTCAAGACATTTAATGGCTAGCTTGTCCGTTGTCAACGAGGGCGATGGGGACGCCATTGATCCGCCATTACATCACTGAGTTCTGTCTGGAAGAAACGTTTGCGCATCGCGCAGAGGAAGAGGTTTCCCTAAGCATACGGAAATTACCAAGGCCTCACCTTTGAAACAACGTCGCTGATTGCACAACTAAATCTGATTGCAACCAATCACGAATCCTAAACACTCGCACCATGACAGGGCCGTATTAGTACAGAGGTTCGTAGGAAGATATATGACAAGTGACCTCTGTGGGAAGAGAATGCCTATTTATATGGTTGGTGTAGAGGACTTAATAGCTGAAAATCATTTGCAAGAACACCTGGTGTTCGCGATGTAAGCAAAACCTGTTCTGTTCAATGATAATTTCCAAATCGATTCAATACTACAAGATTGAATTCTGACATCAGAGATTTAAACCAACGGTATATAGTTGTTGTTGGTTGTTGTTTAACGCTGCACTGGATCCGCCAGTGTAGGGTGGAGTAAGTGGTAGTGGGTAGTGGGTACTGGTTTGGGGTAGAGGAACTGGTATTGGTTGTTGGTTGTTGGTAGTCGGTACTGTTTATAGTGAGTGAGTGAGTAAGTAGGTAAGTAAGTAAGTGAGCAGTTGAGGTTTTATGCCGCATTTCGCAATATTCCAACAATGTATCGGTGGGAGACACCAGAAATGAACGTCGTGAACACATTGTATCCAAGTGGGGAATCCAACCCGAAACGTTGGCGTGCCCAGCGATCGCTTTAATATAACCACTGTGCTATCCCATATGCACTGGATATATCCGTGTTGGTTATAAAACATTACTAAGGTATCTATATATAATGGCAATTTGCTATTACAGCACACTGTTAGAAATAACTGAAGTACCAACTGATAAATGGCCATTACCTCTTTGCTGGTGTGTGTGAGGAGGACCTAACGGTTCTGGGTTGGCTACACGCGGCAGTCCAGGTTCCCCTCGTGGCTTAGGCGTGTCACATGCATCGCAGTAGTGCCGGTCGCCGCTGTTGATGAGTGTGCAGGTGCTGCAAGTCCATTCATCTGCATCGTGAAACAAACCAGTACTTGTTATGCTTATTATAGGAATTAATATTAATAAGAAACTAGTATAACTATAAACACCATCATGAGTATTTCATCAGTGTACAAACATACATACACTGACATGTAAGACTCACATCTGGGCGGGTTGTTTTAAATTGGACTTTCTAGATAACAAAACTACGTTTATCTTTACATTACATTATAGATATATGATGTTCAAAATGTTCGTTCACTTAATTCTTTTCCAAAATAATAATGATCATCGATATTTCTCATTTTGTTACAAATAAACATGCTAGAAATATTTCATTTACCCATATCCATGACGGTATTCAAGCAGGAAAAATGAACCAGTTCTTCAATCTGTCAAGTAAAACAGAATGAGTAAAACAAGTATTGGATCTGAACAGTTCCTTATAGTTGGTCGAACACTGTTTGAAACAATATCAAAGATACACACCTAAGAAAGCAGATGCGTTTAATTTTAATGAAATCATCGTCACTTGGTAAATGTGGTCCGTGGGGTAGCCCAGTGGTTAAAGCGTTCGCTTGGCACGCTGAAGGCCCGGATTCGATTCCTTACATAGGAACAATGTGTGAAGCCCATTTCTGGTGTCCCCCGCTGTTTTATTGCTGAAATATTGACAAAACACGCGTAAAACTACACTCACTCACTCACTCACACTTGATAAATGATAAGATGTAAGTGTGTTATATTACCCAACTCAAACTTGTGTTTAAAAACTTGCAGGGACAAACAGACAACATCGCCGGGACTGTTCGCAGTCCAAGGGAGGTAACACCGTAAGGTATATGTACATACAACGTAGCTACCGCGCGCTCGTCTGGATCGCTAACCATTCTGAATGACATGCACATGAAACATGTGATTGTCACGCCGACGACCCACATGGGTACAAATTGAGAAGCCCATTTCTGGTGTCCCCAGCTCTGATATTGCTGGAATATTGCTAAAAGCGGCGTAAAACTAAACTCACTCACCCCTATTATAATCCTGTCAGTCACACTATCCGAGCAGCTGTCACCACTACCTGTACTACTCCAACATGTATAGGACAGAGAAGTCAAACCTAACTGCAGCTAACTATGATTGTTGTCTCTGCAAAACATGTATTGCACATTTGTATGTACACGCAACATTAACCATCCGTCTACATGTATTGGCTGTAGATACGCATTGGATGTATGGCCGCGTCTTTGAAAGTATGCTGCTTGGATTATACTCGCGACCTAGTTTCGCTATTTTCGTTAATGACTCAGTCCCTAACGTAAGGATTTTACATGGGTGTTTTTCAGTTGCCTGCTTTCGATATTGACTTGAGATTTATAATTCCAGACCATTTCTCGACATGGCCGTGAACGGTGATGTGTGGATAGCAGTGTCTACAAACTGATCGACGTGACCTGCACTGATCCTTGAGAGGTCACGGTGACATGTGCTCTGTTTTGTATACTGTTTGTACGTTTGCAAGTTATTGTGGTATTTGGTAGTGGGTAATGGTTTTAGGGTGAAAGAAGTGATATTGGTAGTTGGTAGTGCAAGGGGGGATCCTGGAATTTTCAAAGGGGTGGGGGTGGGGTGGGGTGTCAAAACTTTAACTTCAATGTGGTCTTTAGTCATTTTAAAAAAGGGGGGGGGGTGGTGTGTGTGTGTGGTCGGACCCCCCCAGGCACCCCCCCCGCCTGGATCCGCCAGTGTAGGGTGGAGTAAGTGGTAGTGGGTAGTGGGTACTGTTTATGGGGTAGAGGAAGTGATATAGGTAGTGGGTAGTGGGTACTGTTTATGGGGTAGAGGAAGTGATATAGGTAGTTGGTAGTGGGTACTGTTTATGGTTTAGAGGAAGTGATGCTGGTAGATGGTAGTGGGTACTGTTTATGGGGTAGAGGAAGTTATATTAGTAGTTGGTACTGGGTACTCTTTATTGGGTAGAGGAAGTGATAGTAGTAGATGGTAATGAGTATTGTTTATGGGGTAGAGGAAGTGATATTAGTAGATGGTACTGGGTACTCTTTATTGGGTAGAGGAAGTGATATTGGCAGAAGGTAGTGGGCACTGTTTATGGGGTAGAGGAAGTAATATAGGTAGATGGCAGTAGGTACTGTTTATGGGGTAGAGGAAGTGATATAGGTAGTTGGTAGTGGGTACTGTTTATGGTTTAGAGGAAGTGATGCTGGTAGATGGTAGTGGGTACTGTTTATGGGGTAGAGGAAGTGATATTAGTAGTTGGTACTGGGTACTCTTTATTGGGTAGAGGAAGTGATAGTAGTAGATGGTAATGAGTATTGTTTATGGGGTAGAGGAAGTGATATTAGTAGATGGTACTGGGTACTCTTTATGGGGTAGAGGAAGTGATATCAGTAGATGGTAGTGGGTATTGTTTATGGGGTAGAGGAAGTGATATTAGTACATGGTAGTGGGTACTGTTTATGGGGTAGAGGAAGTGATATTAGAAGATGGTAGTGGGTACTGTTTATGGGGTAGAGGAAGTGATATTGGTAGATGGTACTGGGTATTGTTTATGGGGTAGAGGAAGTGATATTAGTAGATGGTAGTGGGTACTGTTTATGGGGTAGAGGAAGTGATATAGGTAGAAGGTAGTGGGTACTGTTTATGGGGTAGAGGAAGTGATGTTAGTAGATGGTACTGGGTACTGTTGATGGGGTAGAGGAAGTGATATCAGTAGATGGTAATGGGTACTGTTTATGGGGTAAAGGAAGTGATATAGGTAGATGTTACTGGGTACTGTTTATGGGGTAGAGAAGTGATATTGGTAGATGTTAGTGGGTACTGTTTATGGGGTAGAGGAAGTGATATTGGTAGATGGTAGTGGGTATTGTTTATGGGGTAGAGAAACTGATATTGGTAGTTGGTAGTGGGTACCGTTTAGGGGGTAGAGGAAGTGATTTTGGTAGTTGGTAGTGGGTACTGTTTATGGGGTAGAGGAAGTGATATAGGTAGAAGGTAGTGGGTACTTTTTATGGGGTAAAGGAAGTGATATTGGTAGTTGGTAGTGGGTACTGTTTATGGGGTAGTGGAAGTGATATTGGCAGAAGGTAGTGGGCACTGTTTATGGGGTAGTGGAAGTGATATTGGCAGAAGGTAGTGGGTACTGTTTATGGGGTAGTGGAAGTGATATTGGCAGAAGGTAGTGGGCACTGTTTATGGGGTAGAGGAAGTAATATAGGTAGATGGCAGTAGGTACTGTTTGTGGGGTAGAGGAAGTGATATTGGTAGTTGGTAGTGGGTACTGTTTATGGGGTAGAGGAAGTGATATTGGTGGATGGCAGTGGGTACTGCTTTAGGGTGGAAAATGTGGACGTGTAGTTGGTAATGGGCCCGGCTTTGAGGATGTTAGAAATGGCATCGGTAGTTGGTAGTAGCTACTGGGTTTTTTTGGTACAAAGTAATATCGGGGGTTGGTAATGTGTTTTTTTTGTAGATGACGTGATTTTGGTAGTGGGTACTGTTTTTAGGGTGGAGAATGTGGAATATGTAGTTGGTAGTTGGTACTGTTTTTGGGTCGGTGAAAGTGATATTATGAGTTGGTGCTGTTTTTAGGGTGGTGGAACTAATATTGGTAGTTGGGAGTGGGTACTGTTTTTAGGATAGAGAATGTGGAATTTACGGCGTTTAACAACAAAACAAACAACCAATGATATATAAAGATTATCAGCAAGCCTCCCCATGGATCACAAAAGCCATTACTACAAATAATAGCAGCGACAAAAGCAGAATACTGATGAAGATCGTTACTGATATCAAATCAAAGAGTATCTGAAGAGTTAAGAGTCGACTCAAATTTACAAATAGAATAGGGAATATACTTTTTTCCGTGAGGGTAGTTTTTCACGTAATGAGTACTCGAATGTTGAACAAATTGAAAGCAGCGTCACCACAAATTCTAAAGATATTCATCACTGATTCCATCAACAAATCAGATCTATTCATAATTCTCATGGTTCCGATGTAAACGTTACCTACCTACATGGGACGAGATAGGATGCCGATCAAGGAATGAACCTATATCCGCGAGTCAGGAAGAATTTATACACCATTGGATATGATGTTGCATTCATGGGTTTTCCTGTCTCCGAATAAGTGAAACTAGCCTGGGTTTGTTTTCGAAAACGACCTTGCCTCAGATAACGAAAGAGGTTTCTGACGTTGTTCTATTTATAGGCCGAAAAAACCCACCCTGTCTGTTTACTGGCATGCTGCGCCCACATGCTTGATGGGGAATGTTGTGCCTGCGATGCAAACATACTGTGAAACATTATATTATTTTTCACAATATTATGATTAAACATCAGAAATGGCGTGTTGTTTCATCCAGATGCACATGTTTCTCTTTCCACGCGCAGATCGGGTTCAGCGGACAACTTATGTCTTTGTGTTTTGTCAAGTACGAGAGATCTGTATATAATGTACCAACTGTCAACACCATGACTCAGTGATAGATTGTGTAACCACGTCATGAATCACTAACTGTCAGACATGTGATTATGCTTGTAAATATGGAGTTTGACGGGCGTTGTTGTGATAAGATATGATCATATTTGAGCCGCTTAGGGTTACTGTATATGACCGTAGATAAAGCAGTGTCGAAAATGAGCATCAACATGGTTTTTTTCGGTACATAAGCCGAACTACCAACCTTGGTTCATCTTCGCGTCGTGATAAGGTGCACGGTATACAAACAATATCGCCAGAACGGGAGACAGAGTGGGACTTACTAGAATACATTTACAAGCATCTATATATCTGCTAAGGCTTTCACTCGTGTACTACCGAATGGCGAGTGAATGTTGTATGGTAGCACATAGTCTTGGGCAAAGCGCACGTCACAAATTGAAGCCAGTTTTGTGTTTCCCTATCTCCAAGGACGTAGGAAAATAGCATATGTGTATACTGTTCCCTTGTGGCACTAGGCCGATTTAGATAATTACACAACAACTACGCAATATAGACTACGCACATATACACAATATAGACAAAACAATTTGAATTATCGTTAGAAGAAGAAAATGAAAGTAAAAAGATAAACTGATGTAAGTTACCACGAACATGGTTTAAGTGTGTGCCAGTTACAAGGCGCCTGTGTCTCGACGACCTTAGTAGTTACACAGCACACATAGACACAACAGCTTTGATTTGTGTAATGTTTTGACATAACTAAAAATACATATATTCCTCAGGAACTGGCCAATTTCCCGAGGAATGTACGGTTTGATTCTGACGGCCTATAGACCCTTTTGTTCGAGTCGGATCACATGCCACAAGTACGATTAGATAATAGAAAGTGACTGAACTGGGTTAAACAGACTCTGGACCATAATAGTCATGTGTAAGGGGCGTCGGACGTTCAGCAGACAGAGATAACTAGAGTAGGCAGACAGTTACACCGACCGTCAGAGAGATTCATCCGCACACACACACACACACACACACATAAAGAGAGAAAGAGAGAGAGACAGAGAGAGAGAGACAGACAGACAGACAGACAGACAGACAGACAGACAGACAGACAGACAGACAGACAGACAGACAGACAGACAGACAGACATACATACATACATACATACATACATACATACATACATACATACATACATACATACATACATACATACATACATACATACATACATACATACACATACCACACACTAGTCATGTCGCTGTAGTGTAGCAATCTTGAGAGCGACATTAAACCCACTTTTCCCCCATTTCCCCTAATAATTAAACCGACCGCATCCGTTGTGTAGTGGTTAGAGTGTCCGCCCGGTGAGCTGAAGGTCGTGGGTTCGATCCCCGACCGCGTCATACCAAAAGACGTTAAAATATGGTACTTGTTGGTCCCTTCCTGGCGCTCGGCATTAATGGGTACAACAAGGACTGGTCGGCTCGGAGTCAGTATAATGTGTCTGAGTTGGGTATTCATGCTTTACTGCGGCATGGTATCTCAGTGGGCTAGCACTATAAAACTAGCTTCTTAAGTCTGGGCTAGTACAAGCAGCCGCACATACACATACACACGCATGCACGTCGTCATATGAGCGAAATATTCTCAAGCACGACAATAAACCCAATTTCACCTCACCTCACCTAGTAATTTAACCACTGTCGTGTAATATCTTTTGTAGTAGTCGTGGACTTGGGGGAAGCTTGTATTGTAGTTTGTTGCTATCGCTCCACTGTCAGCAACATTCACTTCTGGAGTTAGTGAGTGAGTTTAGTTTTGCGCCGCACTCAGCAATATTCCAGCTATATGGCGGCGGTCTGTAAATAATCGAGTCTGGACTGACAATCTGGAGATCAAATGCAACAGCATTGTAAGTTTGTATGTACGTACGTACGTACGTACGTACGTACGTACGTATGTTATGTATGTATGTATGTATGTATGTATGTATGTATGTATGTGTGTGTGTGTGTGTGTGTGTGTGTGTGTGCGCATGCGCGTGCGTGTGTGTGTATGCATGCATGTGTGTATGTATGGATGTGTGTAGGTGTGCATGTATGTCGGAAGGGCGAGTGTGTGTCTCTCCTAAACACCTCAAGCATTACACATGACCCTTGTGTTTCACCTAGTTTGCTCACCCCAAAGACGTCAATGCATCTAATCATACATTACGTCTATAACACGTCGTAAATAAACGTTTCATTTCTCGAGAATGTTCTTAGTTCCTGAGGAAAATGTATATTTTTAGTTATGACATGTCAAAGTGTCTTGACATTTTTTCAGGTCGTCGCTGCACAGATCTCTTGTTACTAACACTACACAAAGAAAAATATACATGGTAGTTATAAAGTCGCTTTGATCCACTAAAATTAAGATACATTAATTCAATTAACTTTCACATGGGTTGCCACAGCGGCATGTTGGATCCTCGTTTAAACATTTTCTAAATACATCTTGTTTAATTAACTTTCACGATGCCTTAAGTTTCTTACACTATGTTTTCAGAAAATACGACAGTAACTGTAGTTTTATCAATTCTTAGACTGATTTGTTTCTTAACAAAGTTGCAATATAACCCATTATGAATTAGCAATGTATACAGCCTAAGAGATTATGGTATAAACGAGGATTCAGGAATCTTTATAATATATGCTATGAGCAATTCTGAGGTTGTATGATCTTTGACCCAACACAGCAATGTGTGTGTGTGCGTGTGTGCGTGTGTGCGTGTGCGCGCGTAAGTATGTACGTACATACGTCTGTCTGATTGTTTAATAACCAGTATGGACAATACAGTGGCTCAGACCATAATCATAATCGCATATCGGTAACTTGCAAAGCCGAATCTGAAGACGCACTTAGTAAATTTGGCCAGTCCGCAGGTTTTTCACGCCTCAAAATATATTTCCCCAAAACAAACGCACGTCAAATCTGTTGCTCAAGTTACACCTGCCTGTGTTACAGTATTATCTTAGCGGGGTCGAAGATTCTGTGATAAAGCCTCGCACAAAATAACCGCAGACACTGAGTTTTGCTTAACTCTACTTTTAACACTGTCCGTTACATCACCACGGACCGGGCAGCTTGTGTCCACGGTTCGGCTTGCCATGATTCTTTGATCAGGGGTTCGACTCCTTGAATTATCCTGATTATTGTCATAGTTTATCTACACCACACTAACGCCACTTCTTCACCAAAGTGGCAAACACATCGATTCATTCCCCACGTAACATAATGAATGTCAGTAAATGTACTTACCACCATGTTCTACGTGCCTCGGTGTAGGGATATCCGTGTTTGAACCCGCTTGCCGATCACGCATTTGTAGCTTGTCTTGTTGAGTTTGGTCATCTTGAACAGCTTGAAATGAATCGTCCAGTATCCTCTGGTTTTCACACATCTGACAAACTTGGATGGACTCGGCGTTAATAAACGTGCACCTTGAGCATGACCATCCTAGAAATACATGTGTCACGTACCATTATATTTATATGTTTGAAGCATTTATACCTCGGCATATACCGAACACTCACTGCATCAACGCTAATCAAGGTTCCTATAACTACACTGAATAAACTTCGACTTCGAGAACTAGACAAGAGTTGGGTATGAAATATCTTCCATTTAATCATAGAATACGCGGTGTGAATGTTCATAAGTTTTTTGAAGCAGGTCAATCTGTGCTTTCTTGAACCAACGCATATGGTGTACATTAACACAACAAAACAGACCATCAACGGGGATATGTTTACGCCGCTGCAAAGGGTAAAGGGACATTTATTTAAACGTCACTGAATTCAAGTATTTTACATGTAAGGTAAAATATTATCATGTCATGTGACTCAGAAAACAGCTATACAAACGTATAAAATCGAAACAATACGAGAAATAAAATACGTACCTATTTGAGCATTTTCCAGACATGTCCCTGATATTGCTGTATCTTGTGGTAACTGTCTCGAGTTCGAGCCCATAGTGCATATCAGTGACTTCGACGGGTTCACTCTGAACAAACAGCACACCTTTGTGAGCTACAGGTTGGGGGATATTCAAATAGGTGAGTGAGTGAGTGAGTGAGTTAATATTTAACGTCACATCGGCAATATTTCAGCCATATCGTGACGAGAACATTTGATATTGAAATGAAATATATGTATGTTGTAAAAACCTGCCGACGAAGGACAGTAAAACAACTAGAATATCACAGATATGTATGTAAAACTAGTAATTAAATCTAAAACGTTATAACTATAGGGGAAAACAATACAGTATAAAAATGGACTATAAATCGCCAATAACTGAAGGTAGATCACCAGACCAGGGACCATGGGGACTTACATTACTTTTGCTACCTGCATGGACCCTAGTTGGATTTACACCATCTCTTCAGCCATTGGCGACAGAAGAGAAATCTAGCCATAAATTAAAAGCACACATATTCTACGATTAAAAACCTGGTACACTTAAATTGACTAAATGTTTTTGGGACTTACGTACCCTCTCAGGAGGACAATAATTTTACAATACTTCAACCCCCTTTGAGGGTACAGCCACTAACAATATCAGTTACTAATTTAAATTACCAATAATAAAATATTTATCTATTTACAAATCAGTTAACAAATCTAATTCTCTTAAAAATGCAATAATTAAATGAGAACTAACATTATTAAAAAGATCCTTCATAGTCTTTACTTTGAAATAGTTATCCCTTGTGATGGAATATTCGATGCAGTCAAGCAAGACATGCTTGACTGTGATTTCTTCATCACAAGGGATGCAAAACGGAGGATCTTCGCCTTTAAGCAAATATTCATGGGTATACCTTGTATGGCCAATGCGACATCGCCGCATAATGACCTCTTCAAATCTGGACTGACAACCCAAGTAAGTGTAACCGATATAGGGTTTTATTGCATGTAATTTATTGATACCTACTTGGGTGTCCACTTCTTTGCATCAGATCACGGATGTAAGATCTAATGCAAGCTTTGTAATCAGAGTATGGGAGCAGAAGTGGTGTCACAGATTTGGTGAGTGCTGCCTTAGCAGCAATATCAGCCATCGTGTTCCCAGAAATGCCAACGTGGCTGGGTAACCAACAAAAGACGATGTCGCATTGGCCAGTAGCAAGCTCATTATACAATTCAATAATTTCTAATAAAAGTGGATGTTTGCAAGAAAGATTTTTAATAGCCTGAAGACACGAAAGAGAATCTGAAAAGATGATATATTGTTTATATTTACGGTGTTTATTAATATATTTAAGAGCTGTTAGTATTGCGTTTGCTTCTGCTGTGAAAATTGAACTGTCATTGGGTAGTCTGGAAGATATTGTTTTGGACCCAATGACAGTGGCACAAGCAACCGCGCCACCATCCTTGGATCCATCTGTATATAAGGATTTATAGGTATTATATTTATTTCTTAATTGACTAAATTCTTGTTTATACTGTAAATCATTAGTTTCGGATTTTTTAAATGTGGTTAATGTTAAGTCAACGTCTGGCCTCACCAATTGCCAAGGAGGAGAAGAAAGAAGACGAGAAGGAGATATATTCTCCAGCTCAATGCCGGCAGCAGAAAGGAATGGTTTAATTCTGTGCCCAAGAGGCGGAACAAGAGAAGGCTTTTTTGTTATACAAATCCTCATAAAGAGGAGTGAAGATGCAGTGAAACGCAGGGTTAGATTCGTTAGAATATAGCTTCGTAATATACTGTAATGATAATTTTATACGGCGTTGGGTAAGAGAAGGCTCATCTGCCTCGACGTAGAGACTGTCAACAGGAGATGTTCTGAAGGACCCAAGACAAAGTCTCAGACCTTGATGGTGGACTGAATCTAAGAGTTTTAGGTTGCTTTTGCAGGCTCCACCATAAACAATGGAACCATAATCAAGCTTCGAGCGGACAAGTGATCTGTAAAGGTGTAGGAGCGTAGCTTGATCCCCTCCCCACCTTGAATTAGACACGACTTTCAATAAATCAAGTGCCTTCAGGCATTTAGTTTTGAGAGATTTGATATGCGGAAGAAAAGTTAAATGGGAGTCGAAAATGAGACCTAAGAACTTGGCCTCCTTCACAACCTTGATGGGAGTGCCATTTAAAAACAGTTCTGGGTCTTTATGTGGTTTATATTTACGGCAGAAATGTATGCAATTAGTTTTGGATTTAGAAAATTTAAAGCCGTTTTCAAGACACCATTTATTTATTTTGTTTAAACACAGCTGCAATTGACGTTCAATAGTATGCATATTTTTACCACGACAAGAAATATTAAAATCATCCACAAAAAAGTGATCCATCAATGGAGTCGTTTAAAACTTTAGCTAAACTGTTAATCTTTATGCTAAATAAAGTGACAGACAAAATACTGCCCTGTGGGACACCCTGATCCTGATTGTAATGATCAGATAGGGTTGAACCCACGCGGACTTGAAATTGCCTGTCAGATAAAAATTCGGCTATAAACTGAGGCAAACGGCCCCGTAAACCAAAATCATGTAAATCTTTTAAGATGCCGTACTTCCATGTCGTGTCATAAGCTTTTTCTAGGTCGAAAAAGATTGACACTGCATGTTGCTTGTTAATAATGGCATTCTTAACAAATGATTCCAGTCGAACTAAATGGTCAATGGTACTGCGATTTTTACGAAAACCACATTGAATATTTGTGATTAAATTATTAGATTCTAGGTACCAAGTTAATCTGTTATTGATCATGCGTTCCATGGTCTTGCAAACGCAGCTAGTCAAGGAAATGGGCCTATAATTAGATGGATCGGTATGATCACGTCCAGGTTTGGGTATGGGTACAACGATGGCATCACGCCAGGATGAAGGAAAGTTACCAGTTGTCCAAATTGCGTCAAAAAATATTCAAAAGTGTCTCTAGACATGATTCAGGTAAATGTTTTAGGAGTTGATAATGAATACCATCAGCTCCTGTAGCAGTATTATGAGCTTGTTCAAGAGCATTATGAAGCTCATGAATAGAAAAGATTTCGTTGTAATCTTCCCCGTTATCTGAATGAAAATTTATATTTTTCTTCTCCTGCTGTTGTTGGTATTTTTGAAAGTTAGGAACATAGTTAGACGAGGATGAATGTTTCGCAAGTGTTTCACCCAGTTTATTTGCAATATCAGATTTATTAGTTACCAATTGATCTCCAGATTTTAGATGGTGTATGCTGGATTTATTACCCTTACCTTTAATTTTCTGGATCATGTTCCAAACCTTTGACATCGGCGTTCGTGAATTAATCTTTGAAACATAATTTCGCCAAGATTGGCGTTTATTTTGTTTAAAAGTACGCCGGGCTTTAGCATTTAAAATTTTAAACTTATTTAAATTATGGACCATTGGATGGCGACGGAAATACTGTTCAGCTTTCTTCCGTGCCTTCCTAGCTTGTTTGCAATCAGCTGTAAACCATGGTTTACGTATGTGAGGATTTGCAGAGGACTTCGGAATACACTCATCCGCTATCTCATGAAGGTAGTCGGAGAAACGTTTAATAGGGTCGGGGACATCAATAAACATATCAGGATTTAGTTGATTACTGCAAAGAGTTTCATAAAGAACCCAGTCAGCTTTAGCAAAATTCCATCTTGCTGACGGAGGAACATCAGATGGTGTCACAGATGTTAATATGGTAGGAAAATGGTCACTACCGCATAGGTCATCATGAACTGACCATTCGAATTCACTCAGCAGATTAGAGTCAACCACCGACAAATCTAGGCAAGAGTAAGATCCTGTCGCAGGATGTAGATATGTATGAGAACCATCATTTAAAAGGCATAAATCATTATTAAGGAACATTTCCTCAAGCAATTTTCCTCTGGTATTGATGGCAGTACTACCCCAGAGAGGGTTATGGCCATTTAAATCTCCCGTGATAACACAGGGCTTAGGAGCTGGTCATAAAGTGCTTGAAGATCAGACTGTTGAAGAGAATAAGATGGTGGTATATATATAGAACATAATGTGAAAACAATATTTAACGTTATGCGTATAGCAACAGCCTGGAGAGGAGTATTTAGCGGAACAGGACTGTGAATGATACCCTGCCTCACCATAACAGACGATCCTCCAGAGGACTTGTCCCCCGGAGGAGAAAAACGATGATATGAATCATATTGTCGTAGGTCAAAATTATCATTGTGTTTAAGGAAGGTTTCCTGTAAACAAAATACTGAGGGTTTAAAATCCTGAATGAATAGTTGGAGATCATTCATGTTTTTCCGAAGTCCTCTACAATATTCCATTGTATTATATCAGCAGAGTAGCTCATGGAGGTTCAACTGGAGGTCGTGAGCCGTGCGAATGTCCTTTACGCTGCACTGGTAGCGATGGGGAGACATCCATAGCAAGAGGTTCAAAGGTGTTGTGAACCTCCGCAGGAACTAACAATGGGGAAGGCACCTCAATATGTTTAAGGGCCCTGGATTCTTTTTTTCTTTGTTTTTTCTCTTTTCTCGTAGGTGAAACGTTGGTTTTCAATCCACTGATTGGTTCAGGTCGTGATTCCAATACGGGCAAAGTGACTGAAAGAGCTGTATTTTGCAGCTGAGGTTCAGTTTGCGAAGCTGATGAAACGAATTTAGATGGTGTGTTGTTGTCTTCAGCGTCAACTGGATACAAGTGTGTCTGTCCATTTGACAGCCAGCTATTAGGTGTTTGACATCCTGTATCCACTTTTGTAATAGATGAGACAGCGGCAGAGTATGTCAGTGTAGAAGTGGATAGAGACGACTCGTTTGCAACCAATCTCTTTGCTTCAGTGAATGATATATCATTACTATATTTCAATTTGAGAATTTTAGTCTGCGTAAGAAAAGCAGGACATGACTTTGAAGAGGACATGTGTTCACCACTGCAGTTAGCACATCTGATGGTATCAGTGCAGTCAGTGCTGACATGCTTCTTACTGCAGCGGGCGCAAACTGGTGAGCTACGACAGGATTTAGCCCCATGGCCAAACTGCTGACATTGAAAACAACGTAGTGGATGAGGTATATAAACGTCTACCCCTAAGTTGAAGTATCCAGCTTTGATAGAAGATGGAATCTTTGAAAGCCCAAAAGTGAACAGATACGTATTGGTCTGAATAATATTGTCACCATCTTTCCTACTAAACCGTTTCACAGATGTGACACATTGTGACTTCAGTTCAGATAGGATCTCATCTTCAGACATATCGGAGAGGCATTTTGCACGATCACGTACGATACCTCTACACGAATTGAGCGTTTTGTGGATCGAGACAGCAATCTCAGTGGTAGCAAAGTGATGAGCTTTAAGAAGATTCAGAGATTGGTGTCTCTTTGCACATTCCACAAGCAGGGAACCAGAGCGGAGACGAGTTACATTTTGACTGTTCCACATATGCCTTCGATGGATTTTGAAATAACAAATGGATTAAGTTTGAGGGGCGCACCATCCATTCCATTCACGACCAGAAATCGTGGCCAAGAATCAACAGTGTACAAAGATTCTTCATCAGAAGACGTTCCAGCGTCAGTGTCAACGTGCCGTCTTTTAGTTTTGGATCGTGAACCAGTGAGTAATTGGGTAGCCATGATAATAAAGGAAATTCAACACCCCTGCTCCCCACCCGCCATGGAGTGTCAACAAGGACGGAGTTGCAGTGGAAACCGACTGCAACACCAGGGCTACAAGGATGCTATACTCCAGCAAAAAGGACACAGGTAGCTATAATAGTCAAACAGTGTAAAAGGTCAGGCTGGTCCGGCCCTAGACAATTAACTGATGACAAATAGAACCCGGAGGTCATTAAAACCAGATTGGCCCATGAGCCACCGCCTTCTGGCATACGGGGGTTGAAGGGCGCTTAGCGTGACCCAGCACCCACCACGAGGAGGTGGCCCTTCACGGGTGCCTCAAATAGGTGAAGTTGGCGACAGGGTATATATGTATAGGGCTGTATACATACACATGTACACGATGTACATCCACGTACATGGATCAGCAGTGTGGATTAAAGTATATTGTGAAAAATGTTTATCATCCAAAACTGTGTTCCACAGGAGATATCGCTTGTGTGAGATCAAACGATATCTCCTAGGAGATATCGTTTTGACAGTAGATTTTGTACAATGCCCTAACAATGCTATGATGTCATGTACTTGATGACGTCACAATGCTATGACATCGCTGCACTGCAAGTCTAATGGCAGTACCATGTTCAGAGATGTACATTTTTCATTGAAAATTAATGAAGAGTGATTTTGGATGATAAATAGAATCTCACCCTCGTGTCTTCTGATATCAAATATATCAACACTCGTTGATAAAAGTAAAAATATCCTGGCAAGCCTCGGATATTTGTAACTTTATCAACTCGTGTTGATATAATTGATATCAGAAGACACTTGGGTGAGATTCTCTATGTATCAGTTGCGTGTTCATGTGGTATCAAACTTTGGAACACAACTAGGACTGAAAGTTTGATAACGGCATAGGGATCTGTACACGGTGCTTTGATAGCATATTAACGATCTGCACATTGTGTTTACATTATCAACCGTCAACACACACAGCACATACAAAGCACACACACAAAGCACACACAAAGCACACACTCAAACGCACTATATATACATATATTTATAATGATAGTGAAAGGAAAAGTTAAAAAATAACTGATAAAACAGCCGTAAATTGGGTGATAATCTTGTGATCTGTGATAATGAGAAATTTTGAGGTTAAGTGGTAATATACATCATATTTCAATGACATTGAAATGCTTGTCACCACAGGCCCATACAATTCATGCCCAGATAACCATGGTTACTTACCGATACACTCTACAACTGATTCCTTGGGAATATATTTCTCTCCCCGGGAATACAAACCTCCACAAAAGCAATCAGCGATAGCAGGGTGTATTGCGATGACTCACTAACCTCTATCTAACGACACGGTACACCTATTATAAAAGGTGCAGAGACGTGCAGTCTCTTTGTCGTTTCTGTCTGCATCGCCAAGATAAACTCACTGTGATCTCCATAACAACTCTCCCACAACAGCTGTGCTGGGTATTCCCAGTCTCAAAATAGAGTGTTGTCATATTTTATATGTTCAAACAGCGTTATAATATTATTCCACACAAAGGACGAGTGCTGCTCGACGAAGGTACGTACATACCTGTCGTTATTAATCATTGTTTAGGATCGGTGTTTTGCATAATTTCCGATTCGATCTTACTTCCAATCGATAGCATATGGTTATGGTTATTATGGTGTTTGAAAGGCTGGTTTTGTGGGACGAGCCAGGGACGGCCACTGTGTGTTGATAGCTGGCAGGATGGATAGGTTGTATTTTCACTGTGGTAGACTGGTTATGGTTCGGTGGACTGTACTGTGAGAACAGATCACTAACACTACGGATATAGACAGAACGATGTTCAACAGAGGCAATGCAGTTACCTGATTGTCTTGTTTGTTTAAGGAGTACTGCTGTGTAGCAGTAAATGCTGATATGTTGTAGGCACATTGTGTGACTGGCGGGTCCCATCGGTAGGACAGGACATTACTGCAAACACCTGGTGTCATTACCGATTTTTAGTAGTCCATTCTCTTTATAGTCACATCCATTTTGACCTTTGCACAAATGGAACCATTTCTTAGGGTAGTCAAAACTGAGTATATTTTGCACTGACGTTATACGTTTAACAGTGTGTATAACCCGTTCGCGCTAGAGTAGAGGCTGTCTTGATTATCAAACGAAAAACACCGTGAAAGGGCTATGTGGGGGTAAAAATAATAAACAATGGCTCACTAAAGTAATGTAATTCAAATTAAGAATTATCATCACAATGATAAAGCCAATTAGACCCATGGCTTTATAAACTACAATGTTGATATTTTCGAAAAACCAACAAATATTATTCTTTATTTCCAGGGTTAAGCACACCTTGATTACTGACAAGTTGGGAGTTCCGTTCTTTGGGTGATCAAGAAATCCCCGATTCTGCCAGCATGGACAGACGAATTGTATTCCTCGGCCGAACTGGTTCTGGTAAGAGCACAACGGGAAATAACATCCTCCAAAAACAAGTCTTTGCTTCAAGCTCTTGTGGGTTATCGGTGACAAAGCAATGTCAAAGAGGAACTGCCAGAAGGAATGGAGTAAACATCGAGTTAGTTGACAGTCCGGGGTTATTTGATACAGGAATGAGTAATGAACTTGTTACTAAAGAAATCGTCAAATGCATTGCCATGACAGCCCCTGGCCCCCATGTTTTTGTGATGGTTCTGCGCATCGATCGTTTCACCAAAGAAGAACAAAACACCGTAGAACATTTTAAGGATGTCTTTGGTGGGGAAATGCTGAAACACCTCCTGGTCCTTTTCACTAGAAAGGATGACCTCATTGCTGATGGTAAGTCGATCGAAGATTTCATTCACGCATCACCAGAACCGCTGAGAGAGCTTCTAAACTCTTGCAATAATCGTTATATTGCTTTCAACAACAGGGGTTCGGAGGTGGAAAAAGATCGGGACGTTCAAAACTTCCTGAGTCTGGTGGACAGGACTGTTAGAGAAAATGGCAACACATATTACACCAATGAAATGTACGAGGAAGCTGAACGGGCTATGAAGAGGAGAGAGGAGCAACTTAAGAAGGAGCACCAGGAAGATGTGGACAGGGAAAGAAGACAGATAGAAGATGAATGTCGAGAGAGGCTACGAGAAACGAACAAGAACGCAGACGATATGGTGCAAACTCTACAAGCGAAAATCGCAGAACTGGAACAGGCAAAGCAAAACGAAAGCGAACCACAGAGTGTTATAAAGGAACTGCAAGGTGAATTAAAGGAGATCAAACAATTGCTGGCTGATGTGAAGAAGGATGCCGAGGAACAGAAAGCTAAAGCAGAAAAAGACGCTGCTGAAAGAACACTCCAATGTCAGTCAGTGACGCCCGATTTCAGAGAACAGGCAAAGCAGGAAGTTAACAAAAACCAAGAGAGGGCCATGGCTGTTTTGAAGTTCTTAGGAGACACTGTGTTCCAAACAGTTTGCAAAGCAATAGGTGATGCTGTTGCTAAGGGTTTGGGAGAAGTAATAGGGGCTCGATTTCAAAAGGCAACTGACAAAATCAAGATAAAAAAAGAAAACCCCAACACAGCTGGTGTCAAAACTGGCGAAAAGGCAAATTCCAAAACGGAAAAGAAGGCGAGTGATAAGGAGAAAAAGAAATAGATGCGATGGATTACATGGCACGTTGTGTTAAAGAAGAAGTGATGTTTTACCGGACTGAAGAAACTAAACGTATCTCGTGTCCAGTAAGGAGTTTGAATTCTACCAGTAAGAGCAAATTATTCCATCAACCCTGCTTTTGTACTTGACATAATATTTACTGACGCAGTATGGAAGATGGGATGTGTTCTTCGTCGAATACAAAATTATTTCTGAATTGCCATGCCATATTATCTACAGTCTATGGACCGCCTCCGTGATGTAGTGGTAAGAGCGTCCGCCCGGAGAGCGGAAGGTCGCGAGTTCTATCCCCGACCGCGTCATACCAAAAGACGTTAAAATAAGGTACTTGTGATCCGTATCGTGTTTCATCCTGCAATAAATGATTAATTAACACTTACTGATTTAAAAATTATACTTAATTGTGAATAAACACATGTTCTCTTTTTATTCACTCTTTGTTCTTTTGCACTCCGATTGTGCACAAGCAATGTATCCGAAACTGTATTCACACACACACACACACACACACACACACACACACACACACACACACACACACACACACACACACACACACACACACACACACACACACACACACACACACACACACACACACACACACACACACACACACACACACACACACATACATACATACATAAACATAGTGTACTGACATGTGATAACTAAAAATACACATTTTCCTCGGGATCTAAGAAACGATCTCGAGAAATGAAACGTTTATTTACGACGGGTTATAGGCCCCTTAAGTAGGATTAGATGATGTCATTGGGTCGAGCAACTAGTTGAAACGCAATGTGTCTCACGATGGTCACGTGGAGTGTTCAGAAGGCAGACATTGGACTGTCAGACAGAAAAGGCGAGAAACAGATATGGTGTTTACCGAGGTGTTTAGCAGACAGATGGGCACATACATATACAAACACTCACACCCATGTCTGTCTGTCTGTATGTATGTCTGTATACACGCATACATACAACATCAATATCTGCATATACTACTCATATTATCTATATACTTTCTCTATATACGGTATGACCTGTATAGTCTCTCTATATATGTGTTGAGCACTGACAGGACCGAAGTACAACTGTCTGAATTACACACGTCAAGTCAAAGATGTTATTGTACAAAAGGCCTCCGGCCCATATACATTGGAGTTATACATATACATTATACATATGGTGCAATAAGTAGTAATTAGTGATCCAGACAGCAAATCATGATACAGGCAGTAAATTATGTACAAGTAGTGAAATACGATGGACATACAACACTTTTTATCAGATTGTTACGTGTAATAAGAGCATAATTGATATAGTACGACAGCTTTATTATTACATGCTGGTCAGTTGATGAAAAAGTAGTTTAAATGCTAATGTAGGTGGCTTACGTAGATAATATTCAGCTATATATTTCGTACGTAAATCTTTATACAAAGGACATACAAGCAAAAAATGGATTTCATTTTCCACATCTATATTACACAATGGGCACATTCTCTTGCATCGTTCAATATAAAAACGTCTTCCTTCGTTTACCATTATGTTGATCAAACCTAACCTAAAACGTATAAATGGATATCTTAATTTCTTTGATGTTAAAAACGACAGATATTTCTCCGGCTGGAGTAGTGATTTGTATATTCTGTAAGAGTCGTACCGTGAACTATTATGTATTACTGAATGCCATTCTTGATTAAACATATTAAGACTTCTTTCTCGAAACTGAGTTAAAAACAAACTTGCATCACCGACTGACTGACTTAACCATACAAAAACATAACCATGTGAAAACAGAAGATTTCTTACATAAGATGCCCACGTCACTTTACCAATGTTGTCCAAATGAACAAGCATGTTATAAGCCTTTTTGGGTAATCTATGTTCTTGCATAAACAATATCTTAAACCAGAACTTTATACATCGAATATGAGCATTTATATACAGGGGATACCTCCCACATTCACCGTACACCATACAATTCGGTGTAGAGGGTCCTACATTTAAAAATTTCTTACAGGCCATCAGATGTATTTTTTCTATGCATTCATATCTCTGGAATCCCCAAATCTCGGATCCATACAAAAGAATAGGCTGAATTTGACAATCAAATAGTTTAAAGTAAATACTGGGCGTCAACACACCAATTTTACACAAGGCAGATAAAAGACTTATCAATGCTTTCTTAGCTTTCAATGATAATTCGGTAACAGATATTTTCCAGTTCATAGCAGATGTAAACTTAATACCAAGATAAGTGTAATGATCAGAGACAATTACAGGTTGGTCATTAAAGGACCACCTTTCTTTAGAAGATATCCAGCCACCTTTTCTAAATATAACAATATTAGTTTTATCTAGGTTAACGGATAAATCCCATGTTTTAGTATACCGTTCCAAAATATTTAACTGGGTCTGTAGTCCAACTACAGATTCTGATAAAAGAATTACGTCATCAGCAAATAAAAGAATAAAAAGTTCTAAGAGATCTGGAAATAGTTGGATGCCATGCTTACCATTTGCAATGATATCGTAGTACAATTCGTTGATAAACAGGGAAAATAGAATTGGACTCACAACACATCCTTGTCTTAAGCCAATGGGGCAGTCGAAAAAATCAGTCTTATCATCACCACAACGTACACAAGCTATCACATTAGTATACATTGCTTTTAAAATTGAATACATTCTACCTTTCAGGCCAGCATTACTTAAAGAGTACCACAATTTAGAACGATTGACAGAATCAAATGCTTTACGGAAATCAACGAAAGCTACATATAATTTACGCTTACGACGAGATAGACATTTCTGGGCTAGTGCAAATAGTGTAAAGATATGATCAGAAGTTGAATATTTCTTTCTAAAGCCTGCTTGTGATTCGGGAATTTTATCTGTCATACTTGCCCATTTAGTGAGTCTGTTATTTAGAACAGATGTAAAGACTTTACCTAAAATACTCATAAGGGAGATTCCTCTATAATTATCTGGATTGGTGACATCACCTTTCTTATGTAAGGGAACAATAATTGATCGCGCCCAACAACGGGGGAAAATACCATTTTCAAACAATTTATTAAAGCACTTATTCAAAAAGGTCACGATAACAAACTCTGAACTTTTAAGCATTTCCACCACGACGAGGTCAAGACCAGCTGATTTTCCATTTTTCAAATGCAATAACGCTTCTGATATTTCATTATCTGTTATGGGTGAGTCTAATACAAGTGAATCGACGTCTGACATATCTGCAGTTAAAATATCTGGTGTTGCATCATCCTGCAAAGGACAATCATCAAAAGAATCATTAAAAACAAAATCATTACGAAATACATTTTTAAAATGATTTAACCATTCCGCTTTCGGAACTACATTTTTTCGTGTTGGTCGACTTTTTTAAATATCTGATTTGTTTCCAAAATGAGGTCGGGCTTTTTGTTGCCTTTGTTAAGTTGTCGACATTTCGTTTACTCAGGTCCGATTTAAATCTTCTACAGCAGTTTCTGTATATATTACGTTCTTTACAATATAGTTTTCTATTGATATCGTTACGTTTACGTCTAAATGTCTTTAGAGATTTTCGTGCAACCCGCCGTGCAGCCTTACACTCAGCATTTAAGAGTGGATTGTTTCGCGGCGGTGCGCTCGATACACGTTTCTTCATACAGCTTGCAGAATCTAAAATCATACTTACAAAATCATCAATAGCATCTTCTATATTACTATCAAGTTTATTAAACACCGACTGGAAACCAGCTGCAGTTCTCTCTTGAAGATTTCCTAAAAAAAGTCTTACATAAAGACTCATTCCACACATTTTTTTCATTAGAGGAGATATCCGCTGTTGATTTACCTTTAATCATGTTCATTTTAGGAAATCGGCATTTGAGCTCTAAAGGCAGATGATCGGAATCTAATCGATCACCTATATTCAACATACTTATATATTCAAAGAGATCAGGAGAACAGATGAAATAATCATTAAAGAACCACTAAACTTTCTTTTTTGTTACTCTTTTAACCATTACATATGAAAGATTTGTGGTTAGTCTTATGCGGAACACCAAATTTATTCTTTAAAAACTTGTGGTTAATTAATACCGAGCGATTAAAAGTGGCCAAAAAGTCGCCTGCTTCCCTCTCGCCCGCCAACGAAACCACAGACAGGTTACGTAACTCTGTCGCCAGAGCACTGCAGTGACGTCATATGAGGAACGATTTTCAGTTAGTTGTATAGAAAGTGTGTAGCACGCTCATCATTTTGATGATTTCTCGACATGAACGACGACATGCCGAATCGTTGCTTTGTCGTCAATTGCTCCTAGGGGTCGGGTGATGGTGTCACCATGCACAGATTTCCACAGGACCCCGCAGTTCGTGCTAAATGGGTTATGTTTGTGAGTGCGAAGCGAGCGTTGTGGAAGCCTGAAACGATATCTTACTTGTGTTCAGATCGCTTCACGGAAGTTAAAGAATCAAAACTACTTACTAGTTATAGTAAAATATGTATATGATTGATGACCATAAAGATTTTCCAAAACACAACTTGTAACATAACGATTTCTTCCTCGGAAGTGAGGTTGTGGTCGAAGTAACAATAATATTGTAAGTAGTATTATATTGACACCCACCTCGCTGCCAGGAGAGAAATTGTTTTGTTATACGCTATGTCATGCAAAATCCTATTGGCTATCAGTAAAATACATATTTTACTACCAGTGAAAGTAGTTTTGATTTTGTAACTCGGTGAAAACAAACCTAAATAGCATTTATCCACAGACTGGAGGATGTTCCCGATAGGGCGCCGCCATTTTTGAAAATCGTAAAGTCTGTTAGAATTAATGAGATTATAGTTTGTTTTCATCAAGTTAGAAAATCAAAACTACTTTCTACTCGTAGTTAAATATGTATTGGAATCATAACCAAAAGGATTTTGCATTACACAACTTATAACATAACGATTTCTTCCACGGAAGCGAGGTGGGGGTCGAAGTCACAATACTGCGCGATAAATTTCTTGCTACATTCACATGGTTAATGTCCACTCACCAGTATGTAGATACTAGTCAATGTGCGTCTTTATATTTGGTCTTATAATCCTAATGAGTTTATTATCATACTTTTATGCATTTTGAAACTAAATAAAAAGCTGACGATCTGCTGATACTTATAGTGAATTTATAACAGAACTGTAATATCTAGACATTTTATAGTTTGCCAATGTGAATCATAATTCGCACACACACCCTAATGTATGTTGTCTGTCTCATTACACTTCATGGCGAAAACAATGATTCTGTTGAATGCTACGACAAATGAATAAAAAACAAAATGCAAATATTAAAATTAAAACAGATTAAAGTTATAGGAACAATATCAGGCCATTACCTTGTTTGAGGAATGTATCCATCAATATCCACAAAACTGTTCCAAATGATGTGTCTTTTAACAGTTTAATATACGAAAAAGTGATAAATCTTTTCAGGTATTGGTGTATAGTCTCATTGGTCACCCAAGATAGCACACCTGGCAACTAATTGCATAATGTCCGCCTTTCATTAAAAACAGTAATTTAGTTAGCCAATAATGGGCAATCAATCAATGTATTGCCGGTCAATCCTTTGAAAGAAGGACGTTGTTTTTACGCAGACACCGACACGGCAGAGTGTATTCAGTATAGATTAGTAAATCTACATACATAAACACTACCTTTTGACAAATCCGCTGTGTAAGATAAAAGTAATTAATCAATCAGCGTGTTATCGGTTAATCCTTTGATCGATGTTTATAATGTTGAATATTTACTCCAGACACAAGAAATGCCAAATGGGAACCTTTGTCGGGTAATCTAAGTGTGTTACCACTAATTATACCTGTTATAAATTCATTAACTGACCATCAAGTGAATGATGACAAATAACATGTGTAGGTTTATACCGCCTAACACGGGTTACAACAAGGGAGTATTAATTGCTGTATTGCATGTGAAAACTTAAGGGCCGACATTGTTTTGAGAATACAAACAGATTTTTACATGACATGATTAAATATCGAGGTAAAAAAACACAGAAATGGGATCAATTTGGATCAGTCATTATACAAATAGGGCCTAACGACGACAATCAATTTTGACAGAAGCGTCTATGAAAACAAGTTGTAACTCGGAAACTAGGCAAAGCAGGAGACAAAATTAAATGCCAGTAGATTGTGAGAACATATAGCTTTCATTTTCCACAACAATTGTCACGATTTCAGGTTTATACAAGCTTGTAAACAAGATAATTTACCCCCTAAAATGTAGATGAATTCTGCATCGGCCCTCAAAGCTATTCCTCATATGACGTCACAGAGTCGCGCCGCTCTGATTGGTTGAAATTTCGTTCGCGGGTGAGAATTGTGCACTGTTGTCAAAAAGGTCGATTTAAGTCAATTAAAGGTCGAAATGAGTAATTTTAATGACGGGGTTTCATTTATAACGATGCCAGTTAGTGATTTATGTATTTTTACCCCCTAGGGTTTATGTGACCTTTAACACTACAGGCATGCTGTCCGACAAAAGTATATTCACCTTGTTCATCTCCAAACACTCTACCATTGACAATAAATAAATGAAATGCATAACACATGTCTATCAAAATTTGTCCGAATCTATTTAT